TGAGGTGACTAAGTGCACATGAATCTTGTCATAGTTAAACATTACTGATTATCATAAATAATTATTAACCAAAGAATAATAATTCATTTCACTAATTAAACACAGCTATAATGAACCTTGATGATTAGCAGTAAAGAGTTTATTTAAATGATTCTTTTAAATCTTGAAATGTCCTCGTCTTGCTGGATGGAATAGCAGTCAGATAAGCAGACAGCTACATAGATTAAAGGTGTGGTAGAAGACTTTAAGTCTCCTGTGAAGGACTCTATTGCAGATTGGAGTCGTAGCCAGGGCAAGGTAACCCAGGCTGTGTATCTGACCTGTGTCTTAAAACCAGGCCATTACGTGACGTTACAGGTGTCAGGAAGTTCTGTGGAGAGAGCAAGTGTCTCAGCGATTGAACAAAGCTAGCTAGCTAGCTTAAACTTGTGTGCTAACATCTCAATGTTATACAGATTACTATCACGTACCAGACAATTAAAAATGTTACTGGTCATTTAATATAATATTGATTCTTGACAATAATAAAGTAAAATGAGCGTTTGTCGGCTGTTTCATACTCGTTAATATCCGTTCACGTAACGTAGTTTGGCGCTTTCGAGAGAGGTGGAGACGCTGTCATCCTATTTAGGGCACGCAGTTCGGACCTGGGTCAGACCCAGAAACCAGCTTTCCTGGCTCGCAAGGAATAAAAAAAAAAAGCCCTCCGCTTCTGGAGATTGGGGCGGGCTGCTGCAGCCTGGTTCTGACACAGAAACCAGCTTCACTGGAATTTTTAAAAGCTCTCCATCCTCTTGTGTAGTTCAGCGCGGACCTCCCTGAGCTGGTTCCGACACTGATCTGGGCTCTAGAAACCCAAAGGTATTAATCGAAACTCCGCCATGAGGTTCTGGAAAATGGGAGGCATGCTGAACTCTAATCACATCGCTGGGATTGTAATCCTCTGGTCTGAAGTGCACAACACAATCTACCGTCTTTTCAGCGGCCCAAAACGCACCAGGAACAGAGGACAGTGCCATTTATTCTCTTATTTGGAAACCCATGGACTCAATGTCTGGACCCACTGGAGTTTGTACAGCCTCCACACATTAGTTTAAACTATTTTCAGAAAAAAGAACAGAATGCAAAACTAACACGACCTCTCTACCTGAAAACTACCTACTTGCCACACTGAGCTTTAGGCAGGACAAGCTTACGTTAAGTAAGATGTTAAGTTTTTTTTTAACAAAGCGTTTTTAGGAGCTTTGCTGAAAAAGGCGTATTTTTACTTCAAATAAGGGGACGTTAAACAAAATACCCAAATAAGCGTTTCAAATAGTATTATTTTGACCGGAATTTTATTTGTAATAAAAAAACCTGCAATTTGCTCTTTAAACAAGTCTACCTCTTTTATACTGATACTGGCAGCCTGTGGGCAAGTGTTTATCCAAGTGGCATCACATGACTCTCTCCCTCTGGCACTCACAGCAGCACTGGCACAGACCAGCCCTGGTTCGGTATGTTGTGTTCACTTATGGGTAATCTGTGCATTTTCCATGCTCAGCTCTGTGGCGGTCCGCTTAGTGCAAAGCTAAGCTAATTCAACACACCGACTACTGACTGACTGGTCCAGTGAAGTCACGCCTGCCTATAGAGGGAGCCTCTGATTGGCTTATAGAATCAGCCAGCATCAGCTTCCAGCATGCACCATTCACTATCAGTCTGGATACGATGGGGTAAACATCTTCTCTGACTGCTGCTCGAACTGTCTGCTCCAGCCGTGGGAATGCGAGGACAGGCTGTTGTGAGGAGGACACAGCAGTCTCAGTGAGAGACATTAGGAAGCAGTGTGCTCCATGTCAGAGTCTCCAAAAGCAACACTGCTCACAGCCGTCTTTGTTAACTAACTTAAAGAATACAACATGGACTTCACACGTCTGTTGCCCCACCCATGTGCTTGGAAACATCTACGTTCCTGAGAAGGATCTGTGAACACAACTCGGCCGTGCAGGGTTGTGTTCACAAATTTGGAGCTATTTAGTTTACAAACTAAAGATTTTGCTCCAAATTAAATATTTATTTTCCAAAATAAATATTTAGATCCCAGCTAAATATTTGTTTTGGGGCTAAGCCTGAATATTGAAATTGCAAACTAAATGCTCCAAAATAAATATTTAGCTGGGATCTATATATTTATTTTGGAAAATAAATATGTATTTTATTATTACTCCAAATTAAATATTTATGTAGTAAATTGTATCATTATTTAGTAAATTAAATCAGTATTTTAAAACTAAATATTTCAGTCAGACCTAAATATTTAGTTTTTAAAATAAATATTTAACTCTTAAGTTAAATATTTAGCTTGCTAACTAAATGTTTAGTTGGGAATTTTAACATTTATAAATATATGAATAACTTTGAAAAATGAACTCTCTTTTTTTATATCTTATAATAGGCTAAATAATAACCCAAAATACTACTTTAAAATTATGACTGTTTGACTTTACAAATGATTAATACAAATTAAAAAGGTTTTACATGCTGATCAATGACATCATGAAGTGAGAGGTTGCCAGTAGGGTTATAATTTGCATATGAAATAATTTGTCATAATTTTCAGATGAAAAGTCAAATGGGTAATAAATTGTTTCTGTTGCATCAAACTGTGATGTACTGATCCTTGATTGTTGTGTACTGGTACACTCCTGTAAGAGATGGATTATTTGCAACTTTTATACCTAAAAACACACTAAAAAAATATCCCCATTGCAGAACATTTTTAACTGAAGGTGACTTTGAATCTAGTGAAGAAAATGGCAATTGGTTTAACATTTAAAGACTCGTTTTTTAATGTATCCATGCCGCTCCATACCATCTACCCCTACTCAGCGGGTCGTCTCCACGGGCAGTTGTACTCCGGTGCTTTCCCAGGGTTTCAGGTTGAGGACTGGATGCCCCCCTCCCCCGTCAGAACTGTTGTTACAGCAGGTCATCTGTCACGACTGTTTCCATTTAGACTGTGAGCAAAACACACAAGTGGAAATGAGCAGAAGCCATCAGGGAATCTGAATTAACTAAAAACAGGGATCTCTATACCTGTATCAATATTATTCACCCCGCAGTGCCCCTCCTCACCAAATAAAGGGAGCTTGATTGTTACGAAAAGTTACAAGGGAACAAAAAGATGTGACATTGTTTTGAAAGTGTTTGAGATTCTTACAATTTCTGTTTAAAACCATAAAAGCTGATTGGATAATTTCATTGGGGGAAACAAAATCTACTAAGTGAGCACCAGTATGGATTCAGAATGAAAAGATCAACGGCAATGGCAACAATTAGCACGGTAGAGGAAATAGCTAAATCGATTGATAATAAAAATAATACAATAGGAATTTATTTCGGTCTTAAAGCCTTTGATACAATAGATCACAATATCCTGCTAACCAAATTATATAAATATGGCGTAAGAGGAACAGCATATAACTGGTTAAAAAGCTACTTAACAGGAAGACAACAATTCACAGAAATCCAAAATGTAAATTCACCAACAAAACAAGTGTACTGTGGGGTACCTCAAGGTTCAGTGTTAGGACCCAAGTTATTCACACTTTACATAATTGACATTAATAAAGTAACCAATCAATTGAACTACATTCTTTTTGCAGATGATACCAATATGTATATCACAGGGAAAGACATAGAACAACTATTAAATATGGTTGGAAGCGAACTAAAAATACTAAAGACCTGGTTTGACAGTAACAAATTATCATTAAATCTAAGTAAAACTAAATACATTGTATTTGGAAAACAAAAAAAACAATCTTCCTAAATAATAATAAATGGGGTAGAAATAGAAAGAGTAAGTTAAATTAAATTCTTGGGTGTCACATTACACCAAAGGCTGAGCTGGAAGCGGCACATAGAAAATGTTAAAACTAAGAACTAGAACTATTGCAGTTTTAAATAAATCAAAACGTATTCTAAATGGAAAATCATTATTACTCTTATACCAATCATTAGTACTTCCTCATATGATGTACTGTCTGGAGGTCTGGGGAAACACTTACAAATCTCACATAAAACCCATAGTTTTACTACAGAAAAGAACAATAAGAGTAATTACCATCTCTGATTACCATGCACCATGTTTATAAAACTAAAAATACTTAAATTTACAGATCTGGTCAAACTACAAACAGCACAAGTATTTTATAAAGTACAAAATAAAATATTTCCGGATTGTATTCAGAAGCTATTCCAGGTCAAACTCAGTATGAACTAAGGGGGGAAGGAGAGAAAGTAAGAACAAACGTTAGAAGTCAGAGTTGCACAACAGTAGGAGTCAAATTATGGAATAACTTGGACACTGGAATTAGGGCATGTAACACTGTTAAATAATTTTAAAAAAAATGTACGTCAAGAAGATGATGTCATACTACCATAATGACCATATGTAAGCTAGTGTATCTGATAGATATGAATGAAAATGTAATGTTCTTGCACAAGTTATAGTATTTAAATCTCTGGTTTGATCATTATCATACATTGACTTATTAAGATTACTGGTAGTTTTGTATATAGTTCTGTCTTTAGTTCTGGGTCTTTTTCCTCTTGCTGAATTATGGTTGTTGTTGCTCAATATATTTCAGTTATTATCATAATTATTATTTTTATCTCACACTCATTTTTATTATTACATTACTTTTATCTTATTATTGTCTTTTTTTTAGAAGTAATGTGACAGTAAATACGGTAGGCATCAAAAACTAGGCTTCAGCCTACACCTTTTTGGTTACTATAATCGAGATTCTGTATTACTGTGTTCTTTCTTTTTCCTTCCCTAAATAAATAAATAAAATAAAATAAAAAGTGAGCTAAAACAGATCAGCTCTTGGATGATTTTAGGGGTCATACTACCATCGATTGGTTGCTTTTACCAGTTACACCATAACCTCTAGATTTAATGATATCACTTTAACTTTTTGCATTTTTCACTTCTATACATAAATATGTAGGATCATGAAGTTCCATGTGGCTAAGAAGAAGTTTAAGGAGACACTGCGTCCATATGATGTGAAGGACGTCATCGAGCAGTACTCCGCAGGACATCTGGACATGCTCTGTCGCATCAAGAGCCTTCAGACTAGGTCAGGAAACACAGAAGGAGAAAAATGTTAGAAATAATTTGACACAATACTAGAATTCCCTTTTTTACATGTTCTTAATAATTAAAGTTTGTTGACTTGTTTTGTCGTTGCTTGGGATGTCTTTGCAGACATTCTTTTTTGATGGCACTCACATTTAAATATATATATATTTTTATGCAGAGTCCTTGTGTGTATATGTATAGGGAGCCTAAGTCTACTTCCACATCATGGTTCCCTGGAAGAACAAAAATTAAATGCAAGTCAACGGGGCTAAAAAGGCTATTTTCTAATCCGCTTTGCCTTACGCCCTGGATCACATATATGTTGTACTGCAATTTAAATGAAAAGTAATGATGGGTGTTTCGACCATGCCAGTCACGTACATTGAGATTTATCCGCTTGTAAAAGTTTGTAATTAGCATGACTACACACCAGAAATCGGCACATAATCTCCTCTCCCCTATCTTAGCTGCTACTTACCAAATGACCAGATTTATGGTGGTTCTTTCCTCCTGTGGGAAGTTTTCTGAACTTACAGCCCAATTTGCTCAATTTTCTCCATGTCTGGTTCGATCACGTCACTTTCGTGAAGCGCATTTGTAGTCCTGGACTTATTTTCCCCCTGTTTGGAAATAAGCCCGTTCTTGGTATCAAAATGTGTCTTTAAAATTCACGGACATCATATGTGAAATTCATGGCACAAAACAAGCGGAATTAGAAAATAGCGTTATTAGCCCCATTGACTTGCATTCCTTTTTTCGTTCTTCCGTTTCGACCCGTGGTGCGGCAGTGACTTAGGCTCCGTTTTTTCTCCCAGACTGGACACTGTTGTGGGACCCCCTCCGAGGCCATTCAGGGGCAGAGTCAAGACCTTTTCCTCTCCCTCCCTGCATTCATATTACAGCCAGGCCAGGAGGAAACAGCCTGCAGCTGGGTCAGACCTGCCCTGCAATAACTGGTCCCACATTAACAAAACCAATCTACCATGCCTTCGTCCAACAGCATGCACTAACATTTTTATTCAGGTTACTGGTGTTCTACATGGAACTATCACATTATCAAAAGTTAGTCCTACATTACTGGACTCCAAAGAAATTAACATGCAACTGTGGAATTTTAATTATTTGATGTCCAGTAATTGATAATTGCTTAAAAAATTTCGCTTGTTTTGAAGTTTTTTTTAAACAAAATGTTTTTGTTTTGTATTTTATTTGCTCTAACTTGGCTTCTTGTTTATTGTAACTTTTTTTCAAACCAGGGTTTTGCAACCCTTATAACTTCAATAATTTTGTATGATTTTTTTTTTTGTTACAGAGTAAATTTAAAAAAAAATTTTGTTATAATTGATGCATAAGTTTGGCTCTAATATGTATTTTTTTTTACTTTCTTGACATAATGAGTTGCATAACCAAAATTGGGACATAATCAAATATTTGTCAACTAAGCTATATAACTGATTATTACAATTTTTCAGCTGTTTTCAGTTAATTTTGTTACTGAAATAACAGGAAGCAACTTGCAGTTTCTTACTGTACTGAAAATTAATGAAAAAAGGACAGAAAAACGGCTAAAACATTATTTATTTTCTTGTCAACTTAATTCTAAACATTACTCAGTTTTATGATTTGTCAAAGAGACAATAAGCCACGTTAGAGGTGCTGAAGAGCCAGGTGTGGCTCCAGGACTGAAGTTGCAGACCCCAATTCATTCTGCATAAGCAAAGATGTAAATCCACCAGGGGGCGACAGAGTGCAGTCATGGAGTAAGACCTTTATCAACATCTTTTGTTTAACAGAAATGTTTTCAAGTTCTTTGTATTACCTGCAGTTAGATGTGTTTTGATGCGCAGTGAAAACCAGGGAATCCATTTTGTGAACTTTAAAACAATCAGTTTCCAACTTCCCTAATGTTCCAATAGTCTTGTAGAGTTCCAAAGATCTGACTAAATAGCCAGCCTCAGACAAGTTTATCTGGCTTTCCATCATATTATGGTTTAGTGAAAACAAGGAAATTACTCAATCTCTGCAAGATTGCCCTATAAATAAAAACAATATGGCTGGGGCCTCTGATTTTGCAACTCTTTCCTCTTATTTTTTTATTGCTTATTCCTGTTTCTGCCCACTCCTTGTGCTTTTTTGTAATCTCAGTTTCTTTTGCAGTTTCCGTGAAACGGTTGGCAAACTGGTGTTTGCCTAAAAACCTGCTTTAACTTTTCTCTCGTAAAAGCAGAATATGTGGTGACCGGGCCAACTGCTGCCTGCTTTGCTGATTTTTGCTTTCTGTGTGATGTGAAGCAAGTTCTGTCTAAAGTGGACACATTAATATACTAACTTAACTAATTCTTGGTTTGTTACAGCTCCTTTAATTTAAGTGTTAAAAATGAAAGAGCTGTCGATATGCTCTGGTAACTGGGATCCAGTGCTTCAGATGTCACAATGTATTACTGTAAGGCAACAGTTGCATCATGTTTGCCGTTAGTTTTTGGTACTACCGTGCAATGCTCATTACGTGTGAAGTTTGTTTCACTCTGCAATCTTAACACCCTAATGTTGCTTTAGGTTTGTTTTCTAATTTTGAATAACCTCAACTGAGTCGCAGCTGCCTACTTATATTACAACGTCATCATTCTTTATTATGATCCTGTGTGTGTGTGTGTGTGTGTGTGTGTGTGTGTGTGTGTGTGTGTGTGTGTGTGTGTGTGTGTGTGTGTGTGTGTGTGTGTGTGTGTGTGTGTGTGTGTGTGTGTGTGTGTGTAACAGAGTGGATCAGATTCTGGGAAAAGGACAGATTCCTGTGGATAAGAAGCCGAGGGACAAACTGCACCCAGATGGAGACTCGCTGGAGGGCATAAGCATGCTGGGGCGAGTGTGTAAAGTAGAAAGACAGGTGTGTTTGGGGAAGATGAGGGGAAAGTTTTACAATCATAATGCTTTTATTAACACGTGTAATTAATTGTCCCGTGACCTGTGTGGAGGTGTCTGTAAATCAGGAATTAATTGGTCTAAAACTGAGATCTATTATTTTTCTTTACATGCTTATTATGATTCCAGGGGTGTGAATTGCCAGAATTCTATTTATAATGATACTGGGGAGATACTATATATTGCAGTACTCAAAGCCAAACATCCATCCATCTATTTCTTTCCTTTTCTGGGGTTCAGTCATGGGGGTACCAGCCTAAACAGAGAGGCCCAGACTTCCCCCTCCCCAGCCACATAGGCCAGCTACCCAGATGGAATCCCAAGGCGTTCCCTGTAGAGCCCTGCACTGAAGCCCTAGACCCTCGGGCCGGGCCGGACACGGGCTCAGATTTTAGGCCCGTGCAGGGCTCTATTTCCCTGGCCAGCCAAGAAACATTGTCCCTCCAGAGCGTCTTGGGTCTTCCTTTAGGCTTCTTTCTGGTTCGATGTGCGAGGAAAACATCGCCCCACCTCCATTGGTGAACAAGACTTTGAGATCCTTTAACTCTTCCTCCTCCAAAGCCAGACAATTTTTGAAAATTTTATGACGCGACTTAATTGGAAAACTCAGGCCAGGCGCTTCCAAGGCACATCCAGGTTTATCATGAGAGCTTGTTCTGTCAGAATAATTGCACCAGACAAAAGACATAAAGTAAATGTTTGCATGTAAATCATTTTGTTACATCCCTGTTGTTTTCTCCAACTCAGGTAACCTCAATTGAGGCGAAGTTGGACTCTTTGCTAGATATTTACCGCCAAGTCCTACAGAAAAGCCCTTCAGCGCTCACTCTCTCCTCTCTGCCTCTCTTTGAGCTGGAAAACCACCAGCACCACAACTTGGACTACCCAACCTCCCCCCAGGGAGGTGATATGGTCAGAGGCCGAGGAGACAACAGTGGCATACGTCGTTCACATGGTGCAAACCCAAGAGGCTTGCGGCTCATTCTGGCACCAGCAGATGATGATGGGCCTCCAGACTCTGCACCTCCATCCTACCCCCCATCCACAGCATCATTGTCCCCCTCACCCCTCCTTCCCCCAGATAGCCCTTACCCAACTCTTGTCACCCCTTCCAAAAAAAGCCACTTGCCTGATCTGCCACCTCCACCATCCTCAACAGGAAGTTTCACTCTCCAGCTCCCCCCCATGGTGCACCCTTCTCACCTCATGTGCCCAACTGATCCCATCTCAGATGATTTGACAGATGGTGTTGAGGTGGACGAGCACAGTTTGGGCCCCTCTGTTGTTGTGGGATGCAGTGTTGATGATGAAAATGAGGAGGAGGAGGAGGACGACGAAGCGTGTTCTGTTCAGGAAAGGGTACAACTGCGAAAGAGGCCTGGCTTGAAATCTGAGGGGATCTGGAGAAGGCATTTGAGCCTCGAGGTTAACCCCTTGCTGCTTCTCTCATCGAGCCCAGAGGGGAGGCCTTCAGACTGGGGAGGCAAACTCGGGAAATCCCTCTCTGTGCATAATCTAAGCCAGCCTTTAATCAATTGTGCCCCTGGTCTTTCCTCCGCACTCAACAACAGCAGCAGCAGTAATGACAGCGAACGTGGGAACGGCCACGGTGACCTCAGTGACCTCTTCATTAGTGAGTGCAAGCTGAAGCCAGCAACAGAACACTACAACTTCTTGTCGCAGGAACCTGACAGCAGCCAATCCAACATTTTACAAACTGTGGAGGAGGCGGTACCTCACCCAAAGGGAACCTCTGAGTTCCTCAGTCAATCCTCACACTTACAGCTGGTATAAGCACACACGTTGATAAACGCTAGCTGCAAATGGTATGAACACCTTACTGTGGCGCACGCCACTTTTTAAAAGATTGTTACACTTTATACGTGTGCAAATTGTGTTTTTTTTTCTTAGCCATTTCTGGTTGCATACAGATTGTATTTTGTTTAGATTTCGACATCCTAAAAAATAAAAGAATGTAAAAATTGAATACAGGTGGTTGTATTCGTCTTGATCAAAATATAAAAATGACATACAAGTAGAAGAAAAAGGTTTATTTACCTTCTACTGTTGGTATTGGAAACTGCCCAAAAGGAGGTTGATTTGACTCAAAATAAAAAAAAAACTATGATAATTAAAAAATATATTTTTTCCCAGCTTCATAATAATAATTACAATTGTGAGTTGTCTTTATTTTGGAAGGAGATTTCAGATGTTCTGTATTTCGGTCTGGAATTGTACTCCAACCAGAGAAACTAATTTTGATTCATCAGCAGAAATCCATCACAAATTACAGACTTGGATACGTTATTTTGTTAATCAATTGAAAAGTTATAAGAAATAAGTGTAGTGGAATTTCTGACAAGCCAGTGAAAATCACAGGTTTTGTGAAACTATTAAATACACACAATGACGCGCTCGCAACCATACATCATGTCCGCTAAGTACTTTTAAGAAACATAAAGCTGAGACTGACTTTTTTTTTATACACAAATGCTTGTGATCTGTCTTTTTAGATGATGAGTGAAGCAATCCACTCTGCTTAGTCAGTATTTGTCTTTGGCAATGTTAAATTCAGTCCTTTTCTTGCATTGTCAAATTGCTGCATGGAAGAGTTCCAGAAGCAAATGAATGAAAGGACAAAAAGACTTCCAGAAATGGAAAATGCTTCATTCTGAAAAGAGAAACAGAAAACAACGTACTCCTGTCACTTGCATCATTTTCCACCTACGCCAAAACTTCAATGCTTTTGTAGTTTCCTGATTTTGTCTGTCAGCAAATTATTTGTTAGATAATCATCACTGAAGTATTGGACCACTTCCCACTGGATTATTGTACAATATCCTGTCCTGATGAAATAATGAAGAAGAAAGAAAGAAATTCTAACAACCTGAATGTTAAATGAAAGTAAATCATTCTAGCAGACCTAATAAACCAAGCATGCAAACCGGGTTGCTGCATGTCTAAACTGTTGTAACCACTGACGTCAAAGCAGGGGCACAGTTGCTGGTGGCCTGAATATCTGTTCTGCATGGGGAAATTATTCTTCCAAAAGGTGCAAACAAAATCCCCCTCTATGAGCATTATTTTATACTTTTACAGTTTAAAAATATATTCCCAAATACAAATTATTTTAATGCCAAATTTAGGACATTTAAAATGCATTTTATGTTTATTTTTCCTTCGTTTTACTGCTGCACCGTGTGCATCCGTTATGATTAAATGCTACTGAACTAACCCAAGACCAGTTTTAATGGTAACAAGTGAAATGGGGTGTTCTTGATTTGTCATGCATGTTTTTGCCTTGTTGAAGTATGCTAAAAGGGTCAAAAATGTAAAATATTAAAGTATAGAGAGAATAATGTAATTGCGTCATTTGCATTGATATTTTTGTGGCTTTTGTATTTTCAGCGTTTAGCTGATGCCATCTCATCCTTATCCAGAAAACAAAATGTGATTGGAATAGTTGTACTGAAACTTGCATTTTTAATCATGTGTTTCCATTTCAACATTGTGTCTTCATTTCATTTAGTCATTATTTACATTTCTACTCTGCTTGAATTGATTGTTTTAAAGGGCAATTTGACACATAATTGTCTTAGCCATCTTATTTTGTTTTGTTTCATTAGTCACCCTTTTGATTAATTTCTTACAAAGTCACAACAGTCTTAAAAGATAAAATATTTTGTTAATGACCAGTTTCATCATTATTTTTTAAATAATAGGCCCTGATGAGGAGTCTTTTTCTTTTTTAACAAATAACACTAGTAGAGTTGGAGCTTGTAATTTCTGATAAATTGTAACACTTATTTGATTTAAAAAAAATCTTCCTAGCCCATGGATGACTTGTTGTGCATCAATGAAAAATATTTTCCTGCACAGTTGTTTCTGATGAGCGGAAAGAGCCTAAACATGTGATGTGGTAGGTCAATGCTTGTATTATGGGCCATTCCCATCTGTACCTGGTCGGCCCTGCCCGGAAAGCTCCAGTTGGCCCCAGCCTGGCCCGGTTGATTCCACATATCCTTGCTTAGGTGTGCAAGGAATGCAGTCAGAGACATTTTCAGCTTCTAGGTAATCAGCATGATAATGAATGATATTGAATTGAGCCTTAAGCCCATGTGGGATGATTCTACCCACCAATCAGAGGCTTGCTCTAATGGAAGGTGTGAATTTGCTGTCAGCAGTGGGTGTGTTGGTCCTGGTCAGCCTGAAGCAGACCACCTCAGAAAGAGGGCTGAAAAACAGTCTTGTTGCACCCTGAAAAAAGGCCGGCCACCAAGACATGTAAGCAAGCTATGCTATCCGGGCCGAGCCGACCAGGTACAGATGGGAATGGCCCATTATTCTCCCCGTTAATCCATGCAATCTGTAAAGTGCTTGAGGGTGCCTTTCTTGCATAAGAAAATATTTTTATTTTGCCCTTATTTTGCTATAAAGGCCTGGTTAATCAATAGCCGGTATCATACCGTACTGAATTCAAAATGCTCATTTGTTTGGGGTATCCAATTCCTCTATGTCACACTGCTGCTTCAGCCACAGACTCTGTGGCTGCAATAGCCAGTAATATTTCTCTACTGCTTGAACAGTAATTTATTACACAGCTGGCCTTAAAGCTTGATGATGTTAACATAATTTCTTTGAAATTAATTTATTGAAGTGCACACATTACATTCTCTGGATGAGAAATGCAAAATAATTTTAATAGTCATTAATAAAGAATGGATTGACAAAACGGCTTGTTTTGTGTTTTTGTTGCATCTGTTTTGAGGGAGAAATAGCTCTTACATGTTTGTGTTAGTGGTGTTCATACATTTTACATTTTTATATTTTAGACTAATGCTAAATATGTAATGGCTATCGCGACCAGAGAAAATCACAGTACTGCCAGTATAAGGCCCCCGGGTCATTATTGACTGATTAGCGTTTGCTTCCAGCTGGCTTCATTGTCATTTGACGACAAAAGCGTCTACTAAATATATAAACATAAAATCTGGGTTTGTAATTTTCTAAATATGAATACATTAAGAGTGGTTTAAATCTATTATATAACACGGCTCTATTTTCTACAAGAATAGTAAACGTAATTAAAACTGGTTTCAAATTTTCCGTAACAGGAAGTCAGTCCGTACAGACCGGAAAAGAAGAGCAGCGTTATCTCGATTATTGTACGACGGTTCGCGGTTATTTGTACAACGGCCTGATTACAGATGTCGGACTGGGAGGATGAGTATGACAGGGACGGCGTTGCAATTGAGAAGCCTGCCCCGAAACCTACCACACATTCCTCTTGCTTACCTAGAAATGACCGACAGAGAGGAGGAAGTGTTTCTTTTGGAGTAAAATGTGGCAAACCCGCATTTGGAGAGTTCAAGGAGCGGAAAGGTGACCGCGGCAGGGATGGATACGAGTTCAGGAATCGGAGAGGACTAGTTCACGGAGGTCTTCAGGCTGATAAGTCGGAGTCTTCTGCTGTCACAATCACAGTGGAAAGTTCCTCTATCGGAAGGGTGATAGGTAAGGTTTTAAATTTTAAAAGCAGAACGAAATTAGCAGGAAGTTTAGAAGTTGAGCATAAAGCTTGGTTAGCTAGGGAAGCTAATTTACCAAAACTTATTTTCACATGGAGTCCTCCTTCCATGACTTGTAAGCTGTTTAGTGCCATTGTTTTAACATGGACACAAAGAGACAATTAACCACTAACACCTATGGACAATTTCAAGTCTTCAGATTAACTGAAAAGCATGATTTTGATCTGTGGGAGGAAAAGGGGGTACCCGAAATGCATGCATGGCTAGAACATGCTAAATTCAGGCATGATTGTGACCTCGCTGAGCCACCAACTGCGCCATCATGCGGTCTCTATGAGAACACACAGGGTATGCTTTTAAAGACGACGTGCATATTTGTGTTTGTAGGTCGAGGCGGAGCAAAAATTCGTGAACTTGAGGAGAACAGTGGAGCAAAAATCAAGGCAAGTTAATGACCTCAGTTATGCCAAAAACGGATGCATGTTCAGGGGTTTGTTATTTCTGACTAAAAGTAATCACTGCATGATATGTATGGCAAACAAAGATGACTCGACTGCTTTAGACCCCTGAATTAAACTAAGCACTAAAATGTTTTAGGGTGGTGTTCATTTCCAGTGTGTTATAAGTCACTTGTTTTGTTTTTGAAGATAAACAAAGGCGATTATGATGGAGAAGTGGTCATTTTTGGATCCTCAGCTGCTCAGCAAAAGGCCAAAGAGATGATCGAAGACTTGGTAGCAAGTGGCGACTCTCGATTTAGCAGTCATGGTGGTAGGGTTATATGCATTTTATTTTTTATATGTATGCAGCCACTTCTATAAAACTGTTGTTACATTAAATGTTGGATTTGTTTTTTTTTTATTGAATATTTGTTACAGTGTAACCACAGGAGTCACTATTCATGTGTGCAAGGCTACTGCCACACTGTGTTGATTTTGGTTGTAGTTTCTAGTGTAAAGGCCACAAAAAGAAGTCAGTGAAACTTTTCGATGTAATGAAAAAGCAAAAACAATCTGCTGAACAATTTTTACTGGATCCATTTGTCTGTTTTCATCCACTTATCTGTGGGGTGGGGGTAGCAGCCCCGGCCATGCCTCCACTGGTGGGACACCTGTGGAGGCATGGCTTCCTCGCTGTGCTTTTCGCTGGACTCACGAGATTACACGATCCCTCAAGACTTCAGGTCAAGGTTTGTTTATGCAATCCGCCATTAAACCAAAACGAAGGAAATCATGTTTGATATCGCTGTTTGATGTCATATATGATGTTGTTCCTCTCCACTGCCAGGAATAAAGCCATGAAAAACACACCGCTGCACTTGTAGAACAGTGCTGTGAGTAAATAAGCCGTTGGGTCACATGTAAGCTTCATATACATCAAATTGCATCTCTGCAGTACTTTTATTTAGAAAATTACCGGAGATTTTACACTGCAACAGTGTGCGATTTCCTGTCTAGCCCTATGTTAACTGTGGAAATTGACGCATCTCCGAAGCGGTTCACGGCAACAATGGAACCTGATCCTATCTGTAGCGGTGCGGCGTGCTGCTTCTGGGACGTGCCTGAAAATCGTCGCATCACTGCTGGTTTGAAACAGTCCATAGACTAAAATGGATTCTATTTAAAGCAGTGACGCTCCGCTGCTGTTCTGCACCACTGATGCTTTCAGTGTGACACCGGGGTTACTCATTGGTGTTCTTAATTTTGAAAGCTCATCTGTGAGAAAATACCTTCAAATAATTTCATGATTTGCTAAGACACACAAATCTTTTTTATTTATTTTTTTTATTTGCTAGTTGCGGTTTTGGAGTGGTCCAGATTGAATGATTCATGGGGAACTTTTGCAGCGATGTCCGGTGTCAACCATGTTTCAGAAAAACAAACCCACAGCAAAATAACTAAAAAGACACTTGAATGACACTTCTGGTTTGAAAGGGAGAAGGAATACTCAGACATTTTGTTATGAATTATCTAGACTGTAGAAATTTTGCTTTCTGTCAAAACACAAATTGAATCAGTGATTGAATGTTTAACATGTTCTCTATGGTTTTCTCCACTGGCTAAGCTGAATATTTAGTCAACAAAATGTAATAGAAACGAACACTTCATGCAGGTAGAAGATCTCACATTACCTTCATAGTAATTGACTGTTGAAGGGTAGTGATTTTTGCCCAAACTGGTTCACTTCAACTCCACATCTGGAGTTTATTTTAGCTCTACTGTTTGTACCTGAAGCATCACTTCCTTGAACTGTACTGATGTGTTTATGATGTGTAGGTAGAGGAGCATACTCTGATGCAGGAGGTTATGGAGAAAGGTTCTGCGGAAAAGCAGATCAAGGACCAAGCAATGACTCTGTCTGGTCCAAAGCAGCTTTAGAGGCCTCAAAAGTTGCTCCGTCTCCACCATCCATAGACTGGAATGCTGTCCGGGAGAACAGGAAGATCTACGCAGAGCTCAAGTGGAAAGGTGAGGGATTAGATTCACTTTAAAGGATTTATTGTTTATTTGTTTAAGTGGTACACAACTGAACTTTAGAAAAATTTATCTAGTCTATTTTATAAAATGAGATAAATGTATCACAGCATAGGTTTGGAAAAATCCTGATTAATTTGACTTCATCCGCATAAGAGCATGTCTGTGACGCTGAGCCCTTGTTTATGAACAAGCAGCGCGGTGTTGTCTAAATGTGTTCTATCCATTTTTGTCCGCTTATCTGGGGGCAGCAGCCTAAGCAGAGAGGCCCAGACTTCCTGCTCCCCAGCCACTTGGGCCAGCTCCTCCGGGGGGGAATCTTAAGGTGTTCCCTGGCCAGCTGAGAGGCTTAGTTCCTCCAGCGTGTCCTGGGTCTTCCTTTAGTCCTTCTCCCGGTTTGACTTGCCTGGAAAACCTCACCAGGGAGATGTCCAAGAGGCAGCCTAACTTGATGCCCGAGCCACCTCAACTGGATCCTCTCGATGTGGAGGAGCAGCGGATCTACTCCGAGCCCCTCCCAGATAACAGAGCTTATCACCCTATAAGAGCCCAGACACCCTATGGAGAAAACTGATTTCAGCCGCTTGTATCCACAGTAGGCTTGGGCGGTACCCAAATTTGAATACCGTCTAACTTCCACTTAATTTTACCACGGTATACGGTATTACCGTTAGGGCTGCAACAACGAATCGACGAATTCGATGAAAATCGATTACTAAAAGCGTTGGCAACGAATTGCGTCATCGATTCGTTGTGTCGCACAACTCTTCCAAAAGCGCCCCCCCCCTTCCCGCCCACCGTTGCGCGCAGACCAGAGCAAGTCAGATCAGCGCGAGGGAGAGCCGCAGATCAGCGCGAGGGAGAGCCGCAGATCAGCGCGAGGGAGAGCCGGTACAGGCAGATCAGCGCGAGGGAGAGCCTGCAGACTTGCGCTGCTGCGAACCGGTTCTGCATTGTTGCACAGCGATCCAGGCAGCTGCTTCCAGCGCACGGTCCATTCTCACAGTGGCGCAACCAAAAAACTATAATTAGCACACGATCGTTCTTGTCTGCACATGTTCTCTATCTTCTGTCTTATTTGTGCCTGAAGCGCTCTGCTGCGGAGCTCATCACCTGTGCTGTGGTGATTTCACCTCACGCAGCATCGAAAACGCGCTCTCCGCTTTGCGGTCAGGAGATCTCTTTGATCTGCTCAAAAGTAACTGATGAGGTGAAAAAGTAAGAATCCAGGCAACAGATTTTCTGGAGAATTATGAGGAGATGCAGGAAGATGAGAGACAGACAGGACAGGAAAATAGTTAAATAAAAACAAGAAAACAAAGTAAAATGTAGGTAGATTTATCTCCACTACACATTTTTACCAGTAAAAAACAATAAGTTATACACATGTCATAGTTATACATCTGATACAATTCAGATCACCTTCAAAACTCAGTCACACACCCAGGGCCGTTTCAAGACATTTTGGGGGCCAAGGCAAAATGTCTCCCCCCCCCCCCATAACTGGGCTCCCCAGAAGCCTCTGTGTAATTCATGCCCTCTCCAGTAGTGTTAGTTAAACAGTGTTTGTAAAAGCCCCTCAGACATTACTGACATGTTCTAATATATCAGATGAAAAACTAAATTATCAGACATGCTGTCTCATCTGCTTCTTTTCTAAACTTGCAAAAAGTAACAAAACCATTTGAAAGCCACTATTTGTGGATTCTCTGAAAGTTTCCATGGAGTGTGTGACAACTTATTTTATCATTGATCCTATCGTCTAATCTCACAGCTGAAACAAGCATCCTTAATAATCTGTGCACAGGAAGCTTACCGATGCTGTAGTAAAACAAAAGGTATAATAATTTATTATTAATAAAACCTTGTTGCAGCACTAAAGCATAAAAATGAGATTTTGCATTAAATATGCAAAATATTTACATATGAATTGTTTTAGAGCCCTTTAATTGGCAGAATCTGATATTAATTTAGTTCTTACAAAAAATGGGTCCCAACATGGTTTGTGTGGTGTTGCCATAGTGTGACATCATAGGCACAGATCCCCTGTCCTCTTGTTTGGAAATGGAAATATGGTCACCCTACATTAAACAAACTGTCCACCCGGGCTTTTGCGCTGCACAGAGACGCTTTGCTGCCTATGACTTCGAATGTCAGTTGAGAGTCAGTCTCATGCAGACTGACCAATGAAGAGAGGGCCTCAAGTTAAGACCCTCTCCTCATTGGTCAGTCCACACAAGGTGGGTCAAAGGTTACTCTGGGCGGGTTACGTGTTGTCAGGCATTCAAGTATTGAGTATATTTACTGCATATTACAGTAAAATATTCTGTATGTGACCACATTATGGTGATCCTCGGGTCGTGATGATGGAGCCCTTGAATATTGTTGCCCAGGGTACAACAAAGTGTTAATCTGGCCCTGGTTCCGCCGTCACATTCCCGCAGAAACTGGTTGATCACACCGGGGCCAGACTACTAGCATGTGGTTTTACAACCACAATGTCCTCGGAAGCAAAAACGCTTTTAAAAGGGAGGGAGGAGTCCTAACTGTTGCTGCAGGCGTGTTGTGTGAGAGTGCAGTTATATACTGGTTAATATATTTTTGGGTTCAGTTGCTTTCATGTGGCCTAATGTGGGTCTATTTGGGATCATTGGAATGATCAGCAGCATTTCTTGATGTGACTTTATGGCAGTTGCCCAGGGCATCATCGCAAGGAGAATGGCATTCATTTACTTTTGTTTTATTTGGTATTTTTTCAGTCATTTTTGGAAATAGTGATCAATTTTGATTAATTCACAGCCTATGTTTAATTACATTTAAAATTAAAGCTGCAAGCAGCATCGTTCGGCCCTCGCAGCTCCGTGCCGCTCCGGCCTGGCTGGCAGCCCGGGGCTCCAGGGCACGTCCGCGGAACAGAAACGTCGACCACCCCAACACCAGAAACCGCAAGCGATCACCTCGTCTGCATCTCACCCTGACTCAGCATCCCCTCTGAGCACACCATTATATTACACGTCTCACAACTAGGGCATACTCTACCTTTACGACTCTGGTGGTGTGATGACACAGACCAACTGTAATGCTTTTCTGACCACGCTGTTTGAAGTTATTGTAGGTTAAACTTATCTTGGTGCACTGGAAAGCTTTCAGATCTTGACAAATATGGGCATTTCACCATAAAACAATAGACTTCCTGTAGTAGGGGGCGGGACTTAGGGGATGTCAGCTGTCCACATTGTCATTGTCTTTAGATGTGGTCAGTGATCACACAGACAAAGTTTGATATAGATCTGATCATGCACATGGGAGTTATTGTCAAGAAATGTAATGGCGAAAGGTCAAAGTTTGAGGCTTAGCCACGCCCACACCTTTCAACTTTTGAAAAATCTGACGGTTGAATTTTTTTCCCTATGTCTTAAGAGGATATAGCAGAAGTTTGAAGGCAATTGGTGAAAAGGACGATGGGGCATAATACTCCAAACAATGCCTGCGAAAACCACTAAATCGAGTACTTGGACCAAAACGGCCGACTTCCTGTACGACTTTGCACTTGGCTCCAAGAGACTTTTTTGTAGGTCCTGAGACACCACATTAGTGTATCAAATTTCGTAATCCTCAGTCAAAGCATGGCTTGGGGCTATTAGTTTAAATGGTCCTAGGGGGCGCTATTTAAGGAAATAGGCCACGCCCACAAACTTCAGCTCTCTATTTCTCTTGGGGGTCAGACTAGGATCACTCATCAGAAGTTTCGTAGCGATATCACGATAACTGAAGAAATGAGAGGCAAACGTATTTCCATGGCTTGATGGCGATTTTCGGCATGCTCCTAAAGCCCCGCCTTTTTTCGAAACCTGCCAGTACTGGATACCAAGTGACCTCAACTTGTCAACTGCTTTTTGCCAGAGATTCCTATTGATTGGGTAAAAGGAGTCCAATAGGGAGATGTGAAAATAAGAGTGGCGTGGTGAAAGGTCAAAGTTTGAGGCTTAGCCACGCCCACATCTTTCAACTTTTGAAAAATCCGACGGTTGAATTTTTTCCCCCATGTCTTAAGATTATATAGCAGAAGCTTGAAGGCGATTGGTGAAAAGGGTGACGGAGCATCACTCTCCAAACAACGTGTGCGAAAACCACTAAATCGCGTACTTGGACCAAAATGGCCGACTTCCTGTGCGACTTTGTGCTTGGGTCCAAGAGACTTTTTTGTAGGTCCTGCGACACCACATTAGTGTACCAAATTTCGTAATCCTCAGTCAAAGCATGGCTTGGGGCTATCAGTTTAAATGGTCCTAGGGGGCGCTATTTAAGAGAATAGGCCATGCCCACAAACTTCAGCTGTCTATTTTTCTTGGGGGTCAGACTAGGATCACTCACCAGAAGTTTCGTAGTGATATCACGATAACTGAAGAAATGAGAGGCAAACGTATTTCCATGGCGTGATGGCGATTTTCGCCATGCTCCCAAAGCCCCGCCTTTTTTCAAAACCTGACAGTACTGGAGACCAAGTAACCTCAAGTTGTCTACTGCTGTTTGCCACAGAATCCTGGTGATTGGGTAAAAGGAGTCCAGTAGGGACCTGTGAAAAGAAGAGTGGCGTGGCAACAGGTCAAAGTTTGAGGCTTAGCCACGCCCACACCTTTCAACTTTTGAAAAATCCGACGGTTGAATTTTTCCCCCTATGTCTTAAGAGTATATAGCAGAAGTTTGAAGGAGATTGGTGAAAAGGGCGACGGAGCATCACTCTCCAAACAACGTGTGCGAAAACCACTAAATCGCGTACTTGAACCAAAATGGCCGACTTCCTGTGCGACTTTGCACTTGGCTCCAAGAGACTTTTTTGTAGGTCCTGAGACAACACATTAGTGTACCAAATTTCGTAATCCTCAGTCAAAGCATGGCTTGGGGCTGACAGTTTTAATGGTCCTAGAGGGCGCTATTTCAGAAAATAGGCCACGCCCACCGGATGTTGACATAAGATTTTTTGAGGGGCCAGA